GCCAACGAAATGTTAGCCATGTGGTTATCGGATCGTCATAAGGTCACCGGAAACAGTATTTGAAATGTTTGACATAAGGTCGTAATTGATTTACATAGAGAACATTCCAATATTCGTAAAGAATGTTCTCTATATCGTCACCACCACCCTATTTTGTATTAATTCATTTATGAATACGGCTACTTTCTACGGGATATACATCATGTGGCTTCTAGTCCGCCTTTATGAGTTCACTAATGTTTTGCTGAAAGCTTGTAGTCAATTGGACCAACAAATTTGTTTTACCAATGCGCTATGTTCAGCGAAACACTGTTACTTTGTAGCATTAGATGCAGAAAGGAATTGCTATATGACTGGTTGTATACGTAAGCTCAGTGTTTCCGATTTTTGGTGATTCTGAGTTAATCTGTGTATTAAATAATCGGTAGTCTATCTAACACATAACGCCCAACCTATATCAGATATAATGCATTAGTGCGAATTTAATGGCTGCTTTCAACCTAGAAGAAAGGTAAGTCGACCGTCAGCCAACGAAGAACTTAGTATTGAACTCTATTAGTTGGAATAAAAACCGCCAATATGCGTTGAGGAACATTGTCGAATTCTCATTTGTTCGATTGCTTCCTTAGAAATGAAAATCTGAGCAAAAGCAAAAAGCGAGGTGTAGAGGCCGAGAGGTCAAGTGTCACTTCGATAGAATGATGAAACGTATTTTGTTAGCAAAGATTCATAAATTCCAACGGATTTTATTTTAGTAAGTTCTCGAAGAAACCCAATGTTTTCCACCGCTTCGGGTGCGCGTTCCCATCAATTCTCATCGTCCCTTATGCATCGTAGTTACAAATCAAGTTCATTTATCACTAGACCCTTTATTTTTATGTTTTTCCGTGCTTGAAAAGGCATAGAATCCTCAACAAATTAATGTACTTTTATTTGCTTTGCGATACTTAGAAGAACGTCAGGCCAACGCTATCTACAGGTAAGTGGACGGATTCGTCCGAAGAGCATTCTTTTTTCGTTTTAAGAATTAGAAAGGATTGAAAATGTCCTTCCTCGATTTCTCATTTCCTCCGGTAAACAAACATCGATTGAATATAAAATACACTGAAAAAGTTGTGCGGTAAAGGATGCAGGCGGGATAAAATTTAATGAAGTGAAGGCATATCATGCGAATAAGATGTCAAAGTTCATTTTGAGCTGATGTATCCTTGTTTATGTTTGACTTTTTCACATTTTTTTAATTTCACTTATTTATTTATACTACACTACCTTATGTTTGCTTTAAATTCGTGATTTCTTTTATTTCTGTTTTTCAAGATGTTGCTGTTCATTTTGAATTTGTGAATTCGTCATTGAATTAGATCCCAAAACGCGGGAACTGGATGCATATACGCTACTCCTGCCCTGTTCATGCCCGACAGGCTCTCTCTCGTAATGGCACCCTCATCGATAGTGATCTACGCATTGGTGTTATCCCTTGCACAGAGAAGGTATAGGGTTTCCTGATTATGAAAGTACGAGTTGGGATATACGTAGCTTTCCTGCGATTGTTTGTAGGATATCGTCGGTGTGGATATTTCTCGGATAATTTCTCCGGTATTAAATCGATCTGCTGTAGTGGAACAATCGAATTCCGACGAGGTGCCACAAGAGATTCCATCGATATCACCAAGCAATGAAAACCAGCGCACTCTTGATGATTCTACGAAGTTGGTCTACTTCGTTGTCGTACTGTACTTTTTTCATGATGTTGACGTTTAAAAGGTGAATTTCAGTCGCTCGAACTTGTCGATGGCATCTAGAGCTGGTATGAGATCACTGACCGTTTATTACGACGTTCATCAGGATGCAAAGGTTTGTTTCTTTAGCGTTCTATCTCGAAGGTAGGTAGTACTGCTGGTTTTTCAATATTTTTGTAGATCAATTGTCTTTACCTTGAAAACTTCTTTTGTCACAAGGTATTTATCGCATTTGCAGCATGTTCAACCGGTAAAGCAGGACTCTATTATTAACCGGTTGTGGACTGCTGTGGGACTTTAATGGACAATGTCGAGATGTCATATGTGTAATCTAGGGTAGGGTTGAAGTTTTGTCCTTTCACACATCAAATTTCTCCGTTATATTTGTCAATATTTAAAAATATTTAAATCGATGTCTAATCATGTTGCATTATTTATCTTGATTGTATTCGTTATAGATATGTTCTTCACAGTTGCACTGATCTGTTTCACTTACTGTCTGCTCTTTTATAGTTTTCATAGGTTACTGTACTGTTTCGACAAAAGTAAGCGACATCAATTTAGCCAGCAAATGGTACCATGTGGAGAAATTCTATTACATTACTAACTAATAAAATGTTGTTAGGTTGAAATTTAATGGAACATCTTTATTTGCTTCGATGCTTTTCCGGAAATCCGTTTGAAATCTGATTCGTTTTCTGTTCGGATTTTTTTGATTTTATACTTTTTATAGTGAAGCTGTATGAACATGTAGAGTAGCTCGCATGCAAGACAAACAAACTCGCAGCACGTCATAAACGAGACGCCAGACCACAACCCGAGTTGGCCACCAAAGTCAGCAAGCATTTTCACAACCTAAACAGAGAGCGTTCACTGTGGGTTAGCAGTCTGGAAACATAGGTTGTTTGAAATATGATTTAAAAGGATATAAGCAGAAAGCGTAGCGCATATAGCGTAGTGGTTAGAGGTCCCCTGCAATACACTTGGGTTCGATCCTGCGCCCCGGGTCCACCGAGTCTTCTACCTCTTCGGGGTCGGCAAGTAGGTAACAGACAAGGATAGCAGCATTGACTTGATACATAGATGGGCCACCTCCTTTATCAATAAAAGCATTCACTAGCTCTACATATTGATTACTCAGCGTAGTTACAGATTCGCCTATTCGACTCAGAAAACGTAGACTATGAAATCCTGAGATATTTGCAAAACTCCGGACCACAGGTGTATGCAGTGGGGAACGAACACGCGCTGTTGTCCTTACCGGGGAGCAGCGCACTTCACCACTACACCATCCGACCCGGAAGTGCGCTGCTCCCCGGTAAGGACAACAGCGCGTGTTCGTTCCCCACTGCATACACCTGTGGTTCGGAGTTTTGCAAATATTTCAGCACTTCATACGAGTTATATTTCACAACATACCTTGGCATTAAGAAGAAAAAGGCTATAAATAAAAGAACGTAGACTATGTTTCGCGGAAATTGCTTAGGAAGGATAGTGGAACATATTTCATTATGACTTGTGGAAGTGACTAGAGCACGAATGGTGGTCACAATCAATGTACGGCTAGAGATTCTGCATCGTACATTGAACGATAAATTTTCTTTATTTCATGAGAGCCGCCTTCACATCTGCTGTACGGATTCCAGCACTTCTCACATTCGGATCATTTGTTCACATCCATCACCCACTGAGGACTCCAAACTTTTACGTGTGGTTTCGGCTGCTCCTTGAGGATTTCCGTTTCATACTGAATGTCGTAGAATGCTGGTCGAGTCGATTATCACTGGAGTGCTAAGATAGCCGGTCTAGAGAGTTCCCAATTGGAGTGCAGAGAGCGCCCAAGTTACTAATTTCACAAACCCATAGGGATGAGAGGCTTGCTGAGCCCGAGACGGGATCGATTCAGGACCGTGCTAATGATGACCGACATCACTACCACTGTGCTATACGCTACCTCATTAAACGATGTTGCTGTGTCTAAACCAGAAATTGTTAAACACGTACTCCGTAGGCTTCAGATTCAGTAAGGGTTTCAAAGTTTAATGCTTCGTAGAATATTTCGAGCATAGCGGCATTTTCTCTGTAACGAAAATGCTTGAACATATCTGTAATCCTTTATTTACTTGTTCCTAAAGTTCGGTATACGTATGAGACCAAATGGAATGGAATTCCTCTACTGGTTATCTGTGGTAACTGTGCTGTTCTTAGCCTTTTAGCGAAGTTACTGGCTTCTCTTTAACTGCAAGTAATTTTTGAGAAAGTAATACTTTGTAGATGACGGATGCAAAATAACAATCCGAATGAAAGGTGTTGGGATCCGCACAACATGTCAACTCCGAGCATAAGAGAAAGGAGCTTACTTGTACTGTTCGTTACATATTTCTGGGTCCTCCTGGCATGTTCCGAGAGTGATATTCAGTGATTCACTGGGCCATATCGCTTCTGAATATGACATTGTGTAGATTGTCTGATTGCATGGTTGTTGACACCTTAACGAATAGAAGTCTACGTGAGATTGAAATAACTCTTAGAAAAACACAAAAGTAAGCTATACTGCGGGTAGCGAGCGGACATAGAGCGCATCAGTTAGAGGTGGTCCTCATTACACAGGTAGTCTGTTGTTTAATCTCGCGCTCCGCACAAGTCAAGCCATCCATCACAACGGGACGGCATATGAGAGGATAACAAATCTGACTTTAGCATTGGTAAGCCCACGAGAGTCATTAACTGCGCTAAATATGCATTCAGTCATCTATGTGATGCCTAGTGGAGTCAAATGAATGGAGTATCCCTAAGGGATAGATCAATGCCAAATGATTTGTTCTTTTCATCACCCATGAAGCGTACGATATCAAACTAAGAATAGCTGAAGTGAACAACAGAAACGATATTAAGACCGCTTTTAGAGATAGGTTTTTCTTAGTGGTAACTCTACCTGCATTTAAACGAGCCACGAATATCACTAAGTTCTTGGATGCTTTCCTCGAGACATGTTCCTGAAATTTACTTGGACATAAATGAATGTGTGTATGATCTCAGAAGCACTTAGTGACATCACTTGCTAGGATCGTAGGTTCCCGGCGTAAGTCAGTGGTACGACTTATAGACTGAATAATAGTGAAAACCTTGTCATATTAAAGAAATTGTACTCACTATGTCGTTTATTGAACACCTCACAAAGTTTATGTTCACCGATTGACGGAAATCGTGGATCACCACAGCCACATCTATCGATAATGAGTTGTTGAAAGCAGGTACGGTAGCAACCCTGGAACAAAGGCGAATAGGTAGCAGTGTTAGTGATTAACATTTAGAGACCGATGCCTAAGTCCATGTAATTATCGCATCTATTTTAACTTATTATTTACTGCGTACTTTTTTTAACAGCAGGGTATATATTGCGAAATATAACTTTAATCATGCTTTAATGATGAGGTATTTGCAAAACTCCGGACCACAGGTGTCTGCGGTGGGGAACGAACGCGTTATTGTTCTTTCCGGGCAATAGCGCGCTCACCACCACACCATGCGTGTCCTTCGTTTCGCCTGTCTCTCTCCGTTGCCGATTTGGGGTCCCCAGATCAATACCGTTAACGGGTGATTGCTGATGGCAAAATATCGATAGAACTAGCTGAGATTCAAGCGGAACTAATGACCCGCATGGTGTGGTGGTGAACGCGTTATTCCCCGGAAAGGACAATAGCGCGTTCGTTCCCCGCCGCAGACCCCTGCGATCCGGAATTTTGCAAATATCTCAGCATCATTAAAGTTATATATCGTATCTATTTTATGCAAAATTCTCCTGACACACTTACAGTGAGTGAATATGAATTCATACCGGCATGCTGTCTTGCAATGTAAATAGCTCCGCCCCTTCTGCTGCGCTTTCATCTACATAATTCGGTTTTTCTATGTTGTTTCTTACTGCTTTTGATAATTTATGTCTTCCATGTATGCTTTAAGCTTTCTCGTGAAGTATCCCTTAGTTTTAAAATATTTCAAACCCATGTGTGTAACGAAAAGAAAACCCTCATTCGCTATGGAACTATGTAGCTGTTTTGGTAGTTAATTTCAGAACATATACTTAGTTCCCAGGATCGACTTTCTCTTAACCTCGGCATTGGAATATGAATGTGTCGTTTTCTTGTTCAGCAATCCCGTGGTTCTTAAACAGCATACATTTACTTCCATAAAAACACAATACAATACAACGCTAGCTGACGTTTCGGCAGTATCGCCTTCTTCCCTTCCAGGCTCTGAAGAAGGCGATACTGCCGAAACGTCAGCTAGCGTTGTATTGTATTGTGTTTTTATGGAAGTAAATGTATGCTGTTTAAGAACCTCGCGATTGCTGAACAAGAAAACGACACATTCATATACTAAGTATTTGCCTGTGATTCGTGTAAGCCAGTTCCATAAGATAACACCCATCCATGTATAGATGGAATTTCATCTCTTAGTGTTAGCAATTTTAATTTGTAAAATTTCGCCACCGCAGCAGAGTAAGCTTAACTAGGGGCGGATAGCACAGTGTAGTAATGTCCCTCATCACGAACATGGTTCTTAGTTCGATTCCGCGCCTGATCAACCAAGCCTCTCATACTTCCGAGTCGGGAATTGGTACCGGACTTCTCTGGGGGAAAAAAACAAGCTCTTCAATCCAGTTTAGAACGCTCCAGCCCAGGTATCTCAGGACTCCAGGGAGAATTGCTCGACCAGCAATCTTCGACGTTCAAGATGAAATATAAATCCTCAAGCAGCAACCGAGACCATATGTAGAAGTTGGAAGATCTTCTTAAACAATGTATATGAGGAAACGAATTGAATGTGAGAAGTGCTGGGATCCGCACGATAGACGTAAAGATGGTTCACATAAAATAAAATTAGATTAAAAAACAAACAATTTTAATTCGTAAAATTTTGCGGTAACCTCAGTAGAGTAAGCGTAGCCTTTGTAGATGTAATTCTCCGTCACCGCGTTTGCAATACAGTCACCGTAAGGAGCTGGTAGGCGAGACATTTTTTTCTACAAGTAGTTAAATCAATCTTATCATCGCTCGAGGTTTGTGAAACGGCTTGATAAAATCACCATTCTCATTCCAAACGATGAAACATATCCTGTAGGTGCACTGTAGCCGAACGTGTCCTAGAGGAGGATAATCAATAAATGCTTAGAATTATTTTTTCTTTAATTTGGAATTCTGTACACATTGTTCTGTTTTAATATTTTTTGTGTCTTGTTTAGAAACACTGATTAAGAGTGGAATGTGCTACTTACTCACCGGGAAAGGAAACTCGTCTTTGTCGTGGATTGTAAGCCGTACACCAACTGCCTCGGATGTTGGCAAATAATCAGAAGCATTGACGAACAACATTACGCGAAGGCCTAGGAACTAGCATATGTTCTCGAGTTACTATCATCAAATATATGTAAAGAGTTTCCATATAATATCGGACTTTTTATTTACTGCCTATTATATTTTTATGACAGGGTATTATGTGAAGTGCTCATTTGCAAAACAGACCCTAGGCCAGATTCGAACCTATGATTACTCGTTCCGTAGGCTCACCTATTACCCACTGCACCATTGAGGCCGCTGCTTTTCCTTTGTCTCGGGCAGATCTTTACCCTAACAGTAAACAGAAACCCATCAACAATCACCAGTCAACGAGAATGTTCTGAAGAGCATAAATCAGCGTGGGGTCTGGCCTAGGGTCTGGGTTTGCGATTTTCCGTATAGTCTCTTCTTCTTTAGCCATTCGTTGAACTTTTTTCGCTAGAATAGTAGTAAAAATTTAGCTGTACCTTAAGTAATCATGCTTATTTATAGTTATAGGACTTCTCACCGTGCATTGGGCCCGCTCTCAAACTGCTTTTGAAGTCGGAACGATTATGATTGAATGTGAAGCAATTTCCAAATGTCGGATCAGAGATGATTGTAAAATCTCTTAAAGCAAACCTATATAGCACATAACTAACCATATGGATTAATATCACTTTCTGAATGCCGTGTAGGGGCGGATAGAGTGGACTGCATGCATTGATTCCAGTGACGTATTTTCCAACTGCATTTTACCGCATCTCCCTATATTTTTTGGACCCAATCGATAGTTGACCCAGCACAGATACTACTCTGGACATGGTTCGTGAAAGGCTATTCTTGACACTTAATAATTCACGAAAAGAACTTTTGAAAGAGGTTTCCAATCCACACCGCTTATGGGGAAAAACTGGGCGTGGTCATATGTGTGCTAGGAGCAATTACTTCCTTATCGTCAATTACTCAAATAACAAGAACTAATGCGAGGCGTTAGTAATCCATCGAGGTTTCATGAAATATGTAGGATTTAGGAGCTTAAATCATTTCCAATTGAATTTTTCTACTCACTGCTTGTGAAATGAAGTCACATTGCTTTGCATTTGTAAAAAGTTGTGAAGTCTATTATTCCGTCATTAATTATGGAAAGCCTTCATTTACTGAGCAGTTGGCTTACTTGTCGATATCACAAGGTTTTCCATTAAAAGAGCACTTGTGGATGAGATTATGCTTGGCCTGCGACATTGCCCTCCTGAAATAAACCTAATGGTGAAACTTTACATGGCTGTTGATAAGGTCTATTCGTGGTCCATACCTTTGCTGTTCACTAAGAGCACTCATCGCGAAGATGATGTTCTCCTTGGCTTTCGTCACGATCGCCAGCTCGTCCGTCATGTTCTCAATTTATCAGGATGAAAAACTTCAACTGGTTTCTGATTTTCATTCACTCAAGTACCCAACAATGGACATCAACATTTCTATGGCGACGGGGAATATGAATAGTCCAATAATAATCTTCTTCGCTAAGGAAATCTAATCAAAAACTGGCTCTTCTCTTCTCTCACAAGTATAGACGACTTCCTGTACTAACAAATTAGGGATGCCATTTCAGGATTTTCTTAACATTCTCCGAAATCTAGGTGATCCCGTCTCGATGCGGTAAGATGTGACGAAATCCCGTTATTGACTGGACATCATTGACAGCTTTAAAAAGTGGTACATCCATTGCACGCTGGAGAATTCGTTTCTTGCTCTGTTCCTACATTACCCAGCCATTCTGGTGTGCCGGAGAATTCCATTCCTTTCTTAAAATCGTAGCTTAATTCAAAATTTGCGTGCAGTCTATATGGGGTAACCAGAAGGAGGAGGGCTGACACGCCAATTAGACGATTCTGTTATCCATGAAGAAAAGATGCTTTTAAGAAATGTCCTCGACGTTGGCCTTGTTATACATCCATTCGTTGCCCAATTCTTGGAATCACTGGAAACGCTCCCGGTGGAGAAGGGTAAAGCTTATATGTTACTGGTTAATGAACGCACTGGATATGGAGTAAACGGAAAGCTACAGAATCACTTAAACACTAACTGTATTAAGAGTGCCTTCAATTACATTTTTAAATTGTTTTCAGTGAAAGTCTAATTTTTATTTTGGTATAGACCGACTTCATTCATACACAGTGCAGATCCCAGGATTTCTTTCATTTGTTTCGTTACCTTGGATCTACGGTTCACAAAGGTCTTCGGATTTGCATGTATGTAAATTGACGACTTTGCTTTCTTCATGTATGTCGCTGAATGATCGTTGAGGTGATTTCCTCTGGAATCCTGGGATATTCTTGCTAAAGCGTTCAATCTCTTCACTACCGGCAATCGTCTTGTGTGTGAGAGGAAACCTTTCCGTAATAAGTCGGGTAGTAATTTTCCATACAGAAAGATTGATCCATTGACAATGCGTGTAATGCATACCATGTTGAACAGTTGAGTTTCACGTACCCCAAGTTTAATTAAAAACTGGTGTATTTATTTATGTGATCTTATAAACTGATCTTCTTAAGCTGACGCGAGGTTGGTACAGATCTTTGTTGTCGTTGTCGTTGTTTTTGATGTTGCTGGTCGATGGTTGACGTTTCGGCGACTTCGTGGGTCTCGCACGTAACATCAGGGCTCTGAGGAAGGCGAAGTCGCCGAAACGTCAGCCATCGACCAGTAACATCAAAAACAACGACAACGAAGATCTGTACCAACCGTACCTGTTGGTTGAACAGAATAGAAATCGCTTAACAATAAAGTTAAAGCAAAAATTTCGGATAACATCATGAAAAACTGAAGAATAAAGTTGTGTTCCTTTATTGTAGGAGACCTACCGCGAACCCTAGCGCTTCTTGCTCCTCATCCGTGACATCCAATGATTTGTCCTCACCGAGTTCCCACAGATTAAGTCTCTTCGTCGCCTTAACGTGCATCGTTCTACCTCGTTAATAGTAGTGATTTATGTTACTTTTAAGACATACGCAGAAAAAAAGGGACAACGAATGATGGGAAGAGGTAGAAGTCAGAGGGATAAGAGATAAAATAAAGAATTTGGCGTTGTCTCTTCGGGGTACCCAATGCATTCGACTCCATTAATAACACCGCATACGTGATTAAACGCATCTTTGGCCTACGCAATAACTTTCCGAGTCAGCCGACTCATCAAGTCAGTATGTCTTATTATCCCAGACATGCCTGTTACCAACGTGCCCAGACCGGGATGATAGTAGCATTGTCCAGAGCGTTGGATCGAGTCAGCGACTACGTGTGCACTGCTGGGCACCTCTAACGAATGCGCTGCAGGAACTTTTGCGTAGGTATCTTGAAATTTAAACACTTTCCCTGTCCAAATTCAAGGTACTCGGAGGACGAAATTCCTCTCCTACGAAGCTGCCCTCATGTACACGAAAAACGACTGTGTTTGACGATGAGTTTCGTGACCTCCGATTTTCAGATGTTAATTACCCTATCACTAGCTAAGCTGCTATGAGAGTCTGTTCTTGAGTTTCGAAATAGATGCAAGAAACCAGCTATTGACGAACTCAAGAAACTGTTCTCTTTTTTCGCCGCTCTATAATTTTTTAGAGAGATAAATATCACACGAAAGGGGCAGTGACATGGACTATGGACTACTAGGGATTTGAAACAATGTCAAGTTCCTCAGCTAAGTTTTAAGACTGCTGCGATGAAGTGCTCGATTTCGCCTTCTTGTTCACTTCAAAATCCCCATGTTCTGGATACCATGTAGACGCTACAGTTCCCTTCTAAAAATTTTTACAAAAAATATAGTTTATGTGGCACGGTTTTTTTTCAAGGCATTATGGATGGAAGGTGATTGGTACATAGGCGATCTTCAAAGTAGAAATATTTCATTCGATTCGATTGGAGTCTTCTGACCAGACTTGTCTGAGTCTCAACAAGGAATAGTCATCCTTTGCTTTTTGCCGATTAAGAGAAGGACTCCTTCATCCCAAGAAAGGAACTATTACAGAAACGACATGAGGTGGACTGCATCCTTACCTTTCACTTGGTTTGATTATATATCTTATTACCACAGTTCGCCATATGGGATTGTAGTTTTGCGTTCCGTAGATCCCACTGTTTTCCGGAATTAATGTGAGGCATAATTATTACAGACAGTTCGAGACAATTTGCCAAGTTTTTCATGTTCGTGAAGATTGACTTAAGCTGAGCTTTACATATGTGTGGCAAATGAATGCGCACAATTCATCCCTTTACACCCCACTATTCCTTCACGATTATAAAATAAAAGTAGAAACCAGAGCAGCAAAAAACTGGTGTCCATTACCTCACTTCGCTTCTCAGATCTCATAAGGTCGATTTATTATATCTTCTACTGCTAACCATTGCTTTATCATATCTTGTATACCTAACTATCTTACCCACTTACCAATTTTACCTCTTTATCTAGTCAGTCTCTTATCATATCTTGCCTTGCTAGCCGTTCGTGACTACATCCACGTGACGTCACATCTCCTCTTTACGATATCTCGAACGAAGGAGATCTGCTGCGTTTAGAGATGGTACTGATAAGGAGTATACAATAAAACGTTTTGTACTCGTCTATTTTTCTGTGGAGCCGTTGTGGCGCAGTGGTCGGAGGTACCCTGCAATACACGTGGGACCGATCCTCACGCTTCAGGCTCATCGAGCCTTCCATCTGTCCAGGGTCGGCAAATTAATACCAGACTTGTCTGATACCAGTACAGACTCGATACATCGTTGGGCTACCGCAAATCATGGTAAAGATCAAATATACATTCCTCAAACCGCAAAGACCTCAAACGATGGTTAGTGAAGTCGATTGCATGGCGCGCGCATCCCTCAGAGAATGGTCAACCCAGAGAGCTTTATCCTTTATCCCTTTTTATTTTTCTGCAGAATCCTACACGTACTTCTTATATTTCTTATTGGAGTGCTGTTTAAATGCCGATGTTTATCTAATTCAGTTCACATAAAGGATAAACTTGATCAATCCCTGAGGGATGCGACTTGCTCTCTATAACATCATTAAAGGTGATTGAATGCATATCAGGCTTGCACAATAACTCGCGGTGGCAGATGCATCGAGTCAGTGCTGCTCACCTCCAAGAGAAGTCTGGTGCCAATTTGGCGACTCCGAAGGGAAGAAAAGCTTAGAGACCTTGAGGCGCGGGATCAATTTCATGTGTATTGCAAGGTACCTCTAACCACTGCGCCACATTCACCCCTCGGTTCGCATACCTCATCATATTTCATGCAAAATGTTTCAGCACTATCACAAAGGCATGATATTGGATCTTGTTGAAGACCCAGCTTTGATCGCTTCTGACAGATACGGTGGTAGTCGCAAAATCGACATGTAGTGCTGTGCCATTCGTTCTGGAACGAAGCAAATTATGTTGTTGCATTGTTCCATCAATCATTAAAAGGCCAAGATATTTTCCAATTGCACCTCATTTTATCAAAATATGCTTTCCGGTTTGGGTTTGTTTTTTTTTATCTTCATGTAGCTTGCATCATCCAGTTGATCCTTTAGGTTTCACTCGATGGGCGTTCTCGGATGCTATGATTTTGTTCACTCGAGGGATATAAACAGCGTTGTACTGTTTTCCTGAGACTTTCATGAGAAAACCCAACGTCTCGCTCCGTAGACTTCTTACTGTGTGCATAATACATCGTGGGACTCAACCGCAAACGCCCAATGTCTAGCCGTTGTCCTCAAGATGCATCGCGTACCCTGCCCATCTGAGTTTTCTACATCTTGACGTATTCACACCGTTAATAATCTTTCACCGCTGACACTGGCTGAGAATCCAAATTTTCTTTTTTCGTGGTGCGGAGTACTCAAAATATCATGCTGTATACAATGCTTTCGATTTTTCTGAGTGATCATCCTCGCTGCTTATGTAGCTACTAGGTTTCTGACGTATAAGTTGAAGTAAGAAGATTTGTGAAGTCGAAAAGGTGGACGGAGTCGGGTTCTTTTTGCCTTCTTCTTTACACCTTCTCGAAGGTTAACCAAGCCACCAGTTTCCTTCTGCCCAACTCTGGAGCTAAGTCGTTCATTATGTTGATTTCCCAACCTAAATAGAAGTAACTGGAGCATTCGGAAATATTTGTTTCCCATGGCGTGAATGGAGGATACGAAACCAGTTCATTTCTCATGAACATCGTTTTTGTGAGATTTAGTCGAATGCCGCCAATCTTTCGACAGGCATTGTCGAAGTTGGCCAACATTTATTATGTTTTATTAATGGTTGGTGTTATAAAAATGAGATCTAACTCGTATACAATGCTGGGCTATTTGCAAAACTCCGAACCGCAGGTGTATGCTGTGGGGAACGAACACGCGCTATTGCCCTTACCGGGGAGTATCGCACTTCACCACCACACCATCCAAGTCCTTCGTTTTGCCTGTCTCTCAGCTAGTTCTATTGATCTTTTGCCATCAGCAATCACCCGCCAACGGGATTGATCTGGAGAGCCCAAATCGGCATTGAACCCAGTTAAGCTGAGGCTTAGTTATAATCACAATCTTAACCCTTTTATTTACTGCCTTTTTCTCTTTAACACCCTGCCATTAAAGTGAAAAAAGAAAAGGGCAGTAAATAAAAGGGTTAAAAATGAGATAATTAGCAAAACGACGACGATGTAATTGCAGATCACTGCATTGCACTCCATACTGACCCATTCCTATCTTAATATGTCGTTCTCCAGGATGGCTGCGAATAGTTTTTGCGGGACCGTATCGTTTTGTCGAACTTTACTGCTTGTTATTATTTTTCACGGCAGGGTACATGTGAATGCAACCACAATGGTGCTGAGATAATCGCAGAACTTAGACAGTAGTGCAAATCGAACAGCGATTATCTTTTCCGGGAGCTTACGTGTTACGCATCGCACCACCGAGGCTCTTACTTTGCCTTTCTTCGAGGCAATTTTCTACCTAACGGTGTCATCATTTCCGTTGACAAGCGATTGCTGATGGAAGGTAGGAGTGGCTGGAGGGTGGGGAGGGTTGAGTAACCATTTCTTGTATACCTGTTTTCATTTGCATAGAAACGAACGAGAGTTTGAACGAAAGAGAAAAAAGGAACATGCAACCACTATGATGCTGTGATAATCGCAAAACATGGACAGTATGGTAGATCGAACAGCGATTATGCACTTAACTAACCTTTCGAAACTTGAAACTCTTTTCTAATAGCATTCATTTTTTACTTAGTCTGTATAATACATTTACTCTGGAGGCTCCATCCAAAATGATGGAGTGATTTCTGCAGATAAGAACACTTTTTAGGGCCTCGGTATCGAAGACGAAGTTAATGTGTTCATTAATTTTTTTGAAATGTAACCCGTCTTCACTTATTGTGTGCATCCCAGCACTTGCCTCATTTGATTCACTCGTTTGTAACCGCCATCCACAAATTTCTTCAGATTTTCGTTTCGCTTCGCCTTTTTTTGTCCTCATCTTCTTCATGCATGTCGTCTTTGAATGCGGGTCCAATTGACTATTCTGGAATTCTGGAATACCTCCACTAGACTACAACGTTTTGAAGTCTACATCACAAGCAGTGGTCAGTCTTCATGGGTGGAGGTGGGCAGTTTTTCGCAGACAACTCTGGTCCCAATATGCAGAGCTAAAAGAAATAGGAGGGCTGGTTAGCCCAGCACTGTGTCAAACGAGGGACGACATCTCTATTATAACCCAACTTCTTTGGCTATTGCACTTCCAGAGGCGCTAATGATCTCCATTATTTGATTTTTACACATAATACAAAACAACGATTATCACGAATGTATTGCACTTAAATTTCGAACCAACGTACATTTGGATGACACGGCCAAGCATCATGGGAAACTCTGTCAAAAGCACAAATGCACACTGTGTCAGATTCTGTAGGCACCTAAAAATAGTTTTGTTCTAATAGTTTCCTTTGAGAAGATGACGAGGACTACAACTATGAGCATCCCTGAAGATGACTTAGTTTTCAACTAATACTGTCTGTTCATAAATATCGTAATCTCTTATCTGACTATTTCTCCCTCCAGTTTATTTTTTGACTTTTGCGGCTATCTGTCAAGTTTCCATAATAACACTCAATTTATGCATCGCCATTAAGAGCACATAGATATATTATAAGCCAATAATAAAAAAATATAAAAGATATAATGTGAAGAATTGGTTGCCAATCCATTCCTTAGGGATGCACCATGTGTTTCACTCCATTCATAGAATCATAGAGGTAACTGGATGGGAATTTGGCCTATACAGTGATGCGGATCTAAGAGGGGTGAAGCTCATGGTTGGAACCTGGCGAGCTATCGAACTGGCGAGGTTGTATGGATTGTAGTACGCCGTAACTACTTCGGTACCGAATTCGTAAGCGAGCATAGAAACAATTATAGTTTTACCACTTTATACAGGCACACGTTGTTTTTTTAAAAAAAAGTCGATGAATTTGTTCGCTGGTTCATGTATCACATCAATTTGTTGATCACCATGATGTAGTTACCATTTCTAAGTGCGTCAAAGCTTAGCGATTCCTTCTTCATGCGGTAATGGTCAGCGTATTGGGAATTGACCAGGTGCCTTCAATTGTACCCAATGTTTTTTAATGCTGATCAAGCAGGATTTCGTACTATACTTAAGCTTCTTAAGATAACAATGGTAACAAACCTTTACCTCTCGTTTTTGAAAGGTGGAAAACCGAGCATATCAACAAATCGTGTTCCTTCTGCACCAATTTATATCTTTTACTAAAAAAAAACTATCCCAATGGTTTACCGCCTCATCGTGGCTGGTATGTGTTTCCGGGTGTCGGCCTGCGATGTACAGCGGGAGGATTCATCCCTTAGAAGGGCTTCACAAGCTGAGAAAAAGTTCGGCGTTTCTACCAGGAAGCCCAGCTAAGAGTAAACCAATACCAGGATCCACCACCGGCCTCGCGTCAACCTAATCGAATGGTGATAAATCTCCCTCTAATCCACAAAAGCAGTGGCTGCGTGGGGTGGTGACGGCCCAGGGTAGACTTTGGCTCGGCTGACTTCGGGACTTCAGGAAACCACAATGGTTAAACTACGAGAACTTAGAAAACATTCTGGAGCCCGCACAACCAGTGAGGAGGAGCCATCCAAGTATTCAAGCTCATAGCTAATAAAAATAAGCAGTTCCCAGGGTCTTCCCATTGTATGTATTTGCCTTTTGCTTCAAAAACTATTACCTTTCCAGGATCGGCCTCACATTCACCATCCTCTTCGCAGGTACACACTGAGTTCACCTTAAAGAGGCGAGAGTTTTTTGTATGGTTACAGTTTTGTTAACGAGAACTGTACCGGTTCAAATATTCCACTGGCACCGTCACTTCGTTTCTTTATCGCCCGCTTCATCACTCCAGCTTCTTTCAGTCTTTCCAGATCTCCAGCAGTGGCTGCCATCCTCATTACAGCGTTGAAAACGTTAAGCTGAAAACCATATAAAACTGTTTTGCACTTTTCGACTTCTGAACATTCCTACGGTTAAACTCGAGAATTTAATATGAGTACAATAAATCACAATCACCACGGGAATCATTTTATCCGCAACGAATTCACTTTTCCTGGTAATGAAACTAGTGGCAATGTCTTCAATTGAGATCATAATGGCCTTACAATTTTGTTGACTGTTTCATCATCACGTATTTTGCTGTCACGATACGGATTCAGGTTGCACAGCGTGATAGACGGGAATGGTGCTGAATAAATCTATAAATGGAAAATGCATGGACAATTTATTCGAAGAATTTAAAATGATTTCATTATTATCAGAATGTTGGTGAAAACCGAGACCAGTAATAGGAATTTGCGAGATTGTGGAACAGAAACGCAACGACCTGAAACACCTTTCCTCCCATGTATCTAATGACTCGAACAGGAGCCAGTGAAGCCTGTCGCTGTCCAATAGAAGAGTTGCGCAGTGGATTCTGGTGTTACTAGAGAAGCAGAAGGCATTACAACCTTTCTTGTAGCAGGTTCGCGATGTAGTTGAACTATTTTATTGGCTCTCGTGGAATCCATTTACTAACGAGATATGTTCCGCTGCCTTTACGGCGTGTTTCTGGATCACCTCATCTCTGATCTCAGATCGTCGTCACAAGGCGGATCTTTGGAATCATCTTCTCACTTTCGTGTATGAGATACTTCCAGCGTCCTACTCGCGATCCTCCACTTGATAACGCTTCTTTCCCTGCTTATGTCCCGTCCAGACATTTCTTAAGTAGGAAGGGCCGTTGAGGCAAAAAAGTTGATAAGGAGCCCTCTGGTCTTCGTGCTCTTCACTATATATATATTCTCAGTGCTTGTGTCGACTCATCATCCATACATCCTTCAGCTTAGTTTTGTAGCTAAATCGTTATTTATATATTTTCAAGACCCAGATACGCATGGTTGTAGCATTTAGAGGTATTCTTTCTGTTGAGAACGTGAACGAAACAACAGAAACGAATCCTTTTTTCATAAAAAGCGCCTTTTTTGCTTTATAAGAAAATGCCAGGAATACGAATTTGTGGAAAAAGTTTTATTTGGTCAGAAACTTTTTCCGTAAACAAACACTGTGCTGAAAATTCTATTTATAATGCATAAAACGTTCGACCTTTAACAGCCCCATAAAAAGGCTTCATACCTTCAAATTCATTAGTGGAATCGTTGAGGTGACTGGATACAATGTCGCCTATACAATTGCTTGGGAGTGAACTGATGAACCAAGTCAGCTCTTTTCCATGTTCTCAGAAAAGTATGGCATCAATTTTCCAACCGAGGATAGGTAGAAGGCTTGCTGCGTGCAAGGCGTGGCCTCGAATACCTACCCTCACTTATGTATTGCATGGCATCTCTAACTACTGCTCTACCCGCGCGCGTGTCAATACAGTCGTGTGAGTTGAGAAACAGTTGTTTGATCGACATTGCAACCTGGAAAAGGAGCCAGATGGAAAACAAGCAGCATAGACCGGGAAAGACGCTTAGTATCTAAGGGAAAAGTTTTCCCGAGAATGAAAACCCCGGTCACAAGGAAATCATTCTGGGACCCACACGCTTCGTTAAGAAACGCCGTCGTAGTGAAAGCAAATAAAGCATAAATATTTCTGAATTAAAATTCTAATGCCTGGTATGGTTGAATAATTCTCGAAAATTCCATTATCATACAGTAGATGCTGGGTATATTAACATTACCGGTGTCAAATTTTAGTTGAATATCAGTGATCTTGTCCATTCGATAGTATTTGTCGACGACGGCAATCGCTTCGTAAACAAATGTAAAAGCGCACCCGGATAATAGGATAATCCAAACGATTCTGAAAATGATTTGCAGATGTCCGATTTTTCCGTGAATACATAGGAGAAGAATGGACTTTCTTCAACCAGACCTATATATCATGTTTGGTGCCTGTCCCAACATAGGAATTCCGTGACTAGAAGTCTTGTAGCAGAACTCTTTCAAATGCCATCGGATACGGTCCCTAAATGCATCAGTTAGTCGATAATCCATTTGAGAGTCGATCTGATTCTTTATTCGCTTATGGAAGGATTTTAAGAGTGGTTCATTAAATTCATCATATAGAAAACTTTATGGATTCTCTCACTTATAATCCAGTCGAGTTGGATCGATCTCATGTCCACCATCTTCGGTCAGTAGGTCGCACTGCAAAATCTCTAGCGATTAGTTTCTAGAACCAAATTAGATTGTGTCGAAGGATTTGTTTATAAATGTACTTTTCGCTGTATGTTTAACAAAATCATCAATGTCAACAATTCCCTGTTGTTATGAAGAGTTTTCAAATGCGATCAAGTTCTTTGAAACGGTTTGGAAGCTTTTTCCTTTCTTCCTTAAGTAGCAGACCTTAGTATTGCGAAATGCTAGTTCTCTTTAATTTAAAGTAGTTTTCAATAGTCTGGCGTGGTATCTGTCCACTTGATTAGTTATAGCAACTACTGCACCAAGAGATAACTCTCGAATCCTGTCTTCAATTTTTGCGAAGTGTTTTCGATTTCAACGATCCTTTCATAGTGAAATAAGCTCTCGTGCAATCCGTATGCCAATGTTGAGCCGTAATATTTAGACTGGATTATCACTTTTATCATGAATAAGATGGAGAAGCCAAAGAGCTGTGTTTCTACTGATTGCTGTAAACCGATTGACTTAGAACACTGATATGAAAACGAAAATGAATAAATATCTTATTTTTTTCTGAGCTTTGACACTCCGATAAGTGTCTTTTCGTTCTGATGTGGCTCCTCTTTCATTTGACCTTATGTTCATTCACCTCTCCCGTGCGTAGGTACAATCTGCACGACAGCTAGCGACAGCTGTAGGACAGTACCTGAATTTCCTTGTCGTTGTTGTTTGAACATTCACCGTAAGCGTAGGTAGTCATTATTTCCGCGGCCTTGAGGAAATTCGTGTCCGAAGCCAGGTACGTGGAGTAGCCTGAGGACGATCTATGGCTTCTATTGCCTTCTGAAACCCTAACCATTTATATGATTGGCAACGAACGTTTTTGTCATGTTCAGTTCTCATCGTAATATAGACGTTCACCATGTTGCAGTATTGGAAGCTATTCCTTTAGTAACAAAAATCTTGAAGGCTTCCTCGCAAACGTTAGTATTTATAACGCGTTTGAATAAGGGAAGCCCTTAGAAAGAGGAAATGTGGGTCTCCGTGTATTTAAGCCTTTTTTGACAATTAGCCTTGGAAATCGCGACGTTAAAGTTCTGCTGGGACGAATCAGATCTTTTTTGTGTTCCAATGGTAGAAAGCAGAGAAACCCTAACCTTTTCTAAAGAGTAGATGATCATCAATAGTTTCAAATGTTATTGAAACTCAAAACTCACCTTTGTTAGGATAATTTTGATAACAGTTCATTTGGCAAGTGCTTGGAAGTTGTTAGATAAGACGCTGGTATGTTAATACTGAGCGATGGAAGCTTCGGCGTTCATGGATTCCATGCATCTTTAAGTGGAATGGAACAAAAAGAAGCGAAGCATATAACGGCAATGTCTTTGGGTTGTGGTTTAAAAATTACTGATTTGAAAAAATGGTTCCTAAGTAGAATCTTTCTTTTTCGCTTCAGAGATCATTTTTTTATTGGTTTGTTTTCAATTTTCCTCTATCGTTGCATTCATCAGAGGAAAGCCGTTTTAAATTAAGTTACAAGAATTGGAAATTTTGTCTAGTGATCCTTAGATTATGTCATGAAAGGATTAGGGATAAAGCTCTCTGCATTGATCAATATCTCAGCAATGCGCCATGTTTTCAGCCATTAAGAATCACAGAGGTGATTGAGTTCATAAATAGCCTACATAATGACTTACTGCTGTCTACTGATGCGGAGTCAATGTGATCCTCTTAGACCTTACTTAATACTTGATACTTAAATGGCCCGTCCTTACTGGTGGTGCGGGCCCCAGCATAATTTTCCACTCTACGGAGACTTGCCCGAGGTCAACCTGGCCAAAGTCTGCCCCAGGTCTTCACCACCACCACCACAGACACACGAAGTCCTTGTGGATCAGAGCGAGATTTACCACCATGAGACTTTGATACCAGGACGGTGGTGGATCCTGGTATTGGTTCAATCTTAGCTATGCTTCCTGATGGAAACGCCGGACTCCTCGGTTTGGAAGACCCCGCCAATAGGATGAGCCTCCGGCTGTACATCGCAGCTCGACACCCAGGAACACCTCCCAGCCACAATAAAACGGTAAACCGTTGGGAGGACCTCCTAGACAGGTTTACTATAATTTCACCAAGCACTGAAAAAAGGAAGACTTGGTTATTCCTTGGTGCGGGGTGGAACTAGAGACCAAGTTTTTTTTACTGCAGTGCTCTAAATGAGCTTGTTATAGCAATATTTTCATTAATTTCGTTTTACATGACCCGAAACTGAATCGATTTCTGCAATTCTCGTTTTCAATTCTTTTTCTCGCATCTGTCATCCACGAAGCCTTCGGATTTCAAGCTTGATTTCGACTATTACTTGAAGATTTTTGGTCTTCTGAGCGGTGTTTGATGCTGAGTTGATCTGGCTTGGCATAGCCGTGCTAGTGAGTTCCCAGATCTTCTTAAAATAACATCGTCAGTTCTTGTTGCTTGCAAGGAGCTTGCTGATACCGGATGACTTTGGGTGCAAATTCTCCAATACCAGACGAATAAAGAAGTTGGTTGGTCCTACGCGGGTCGAGCCACGGCCTTGCGAGTGTAGGACAACAACAGTCCACTGCGCTACCCTCCTCTGTATTAATAAAAATTATCATTTCGCTTTTACCGACTACACCTATATAATGCGCTGTTTGCATCTGTTTGGACAAATGTGAATTTTCTTGGAGGCAAGTGCCAATTGTAAATTAAATGTTCAAATTTAACGCCATAAGTAGCAGTAAAATCGTTAAGAAACTTATCTGGCTTTGTCACCTTGTGTCTTTAACGTCTCCTCTTGTAACTTCATTCAATCTCATTTGTACCGTTGCTAGATTTTGTCTAGATTTTAGGAATCAGATGGACTACAGTCAAATTCTGCGTACGTACTTAGGTAATACTTGGATGGCCCGTTCTCGCATGTTGTATAAGCCCCACAACTTCCTCAATTGGATTCGCTACAATGTAACCGTCACCTATGAAGATGGCTGGGTACGGGTATGGGCGTGGTCACGGATTAAGTATTTATGGTTTCCTCTCCTTGCTAACAAAGTGAATGCCGGTCGAATGTGGCTTTCCGTGGAATCCCCAAATTGGCAATCTGGAATGCTCCAGGTCTTTATCACAGAGAGTCGTCGTCCGGTTTTTGTATATCAGAGCTTTCAACTAGGATTGTTTCAAAAAGGCTGCTGTTTTTTGTTTAGTAGAAACGATCCATGCAAATGCTTGTGCATAAGATTGAGGACCGTGAATTATTAAGCAGAGTCCGAATTTAACTCCTAATTCGACGTAGACATCTCTTAATCAAAAAGGAAATTCATCTGTGTTGTTGGTTTTCTAAACTTCTTTTTATACGACCGGTCCTTCACATCTATGGTGCGGGTCTCCAGTACTTCCTGCAATCGATTCGTTTTCTCGCAACCATCATCCACTAAGGTCTTCCAAGTTTCTACGCATGGTTTTGGTTGCTGCGTTGAGTCGGTTCTCCTTGTAGTCCTGAGAAAGCAAGAGCGTTCTCACTTAGATCATAGAATTATTTTTTTCTCGAACAAGTCCGATACTAATTTTGCGGCTCAGAGCGATGAGAGGCTTGGTGGCCCCACAGTGGGGTCGAACCAGAACCGTGCTCGTGGTGATCGGCATCATGACCACTGTGCGACCCGACCCATGTGCCGGTAATACTATTTTAAAACATAAGAAAAGCGTCTTTCAAATTAATGAAAAGCTTCGACTGTGACCACGTTAGCAGCGAAAGTTCCATTTCATAGGTGCATTTTGTACATGTATTAATTTTAACAAGCTGAAGCATGTGGTAGTTAGGTAGTTCACATCGCATCCTTCAATAAAAAAAAAGGCAGTAAATAAAAGTTATAGCATCGTGATTTTGACTGCAGCATCAACCCAACTGCTTGTATGCTGATTTGTGTTCCTCAGATGATTCTCGTTGACGAGGATGCTGATGGCACCATTAGGATAAAAAACAGGCTGGAAGAAAGGCAAAACGAGGGCCTAGGTTGGCGTGGTGGACAGCACGTGAGCCCCCGGGAAGGGTCATCGCTGGTTCGAGCTGTGGTTCTGAGCGTTGCTTGTACCTTAGAAGCCTTGTGATTGTTGTTCGCATTGTACCCTGCCATGAAAAAGAATAGGCAGCAAATAAAAGTCAACACGTGGAGCATGTTTACTTATTTGCTTCGTCTAAGGGTGAGTGCAGCGTAGTGATTAGAGGTGTCGTGTATTACACACATGGCCTTAGGTTCGGTCATGCGCTGCTAGTATGTTAATCCTTCTTTACATCAGGGATAGGCAGCTTGGCGCTAAGCTACGCCAGGAGAGTAAAACACTTTTTGAATTCATTGGTACACCACAGAATGTCAATCTAGGGTCCAAATATGCATTCTATCGTTTGGACGACGCCACTAATGGCGTCGAATTCTTAACAAAACCCTCCTCCAAGGGGTTCATCAACTACTTTTACAAAATTACTTTTATTCGTTTTTATCATGATACTACCAAAACTGACCAATAAACAATGAGCCAAAGTGAACTACGGTGATTCATCATTAAGAAGTCTTCGCTGCTAAGTGTTTTTCATCAGATCTTTACAACAATTCAAAAAGTCAGAAAACAATAACTAAGCATAGTTTATAAATGTTTCGTTCTCTTTTTCAGCATTCGCGAGATTTTTATTAAGCACATGTTTACTTCCATGCACATATAGCACATACAACACAACGGTAGCTGACGTTTCGGCAGTATCGTCTTCTTCAGAGCCTGGAAGGGCAGACCGATAGGTAATTTACCAGGTGACGCGCTTCAAAACGACGAACAGAAAGATAAAAATTTGAACGATAACTGAACGATCACCGGCTTCTCGAAAAACCCAGTTTTCACCTGCTTTCCACCGAGGAGGAACAGCCGCACAGAGTCGCATATGGTTGATGACTGCACCATCCCACATCAAAAATCACTTCTGGGATACAGGGCTAGATTGCATGTTATCCCAGGGCATTCTTCCCCGCTATTCATTCTAAATATTCTAAACATGGTATCTATCTGCAGATTCATTTTCTGTCCTCATCGATCGATTTTGTAGTGTTTATGAACCTAATTTATTTAAGTTCCTAGATGGGAAACATCGTTTAGAAAGAGGACGAAAGCGTTCATCGTCATAGTTCATTTCCTCGACTACTGTAATTCGCCATTTTATTGTTATTTTAGTGCGTCGTACTTATCAGTTCCTGCTCAGCGTTCCTCGCTTCCTTCATCTTCAACGTTTCTTCACATCTATTTTTACGAAGAAATACGATTACAATAGTAAAAATAGTTTTGTTGTTGTGGTTCTCACGAAACAAAAACTTTGTGATTCCTCTATTTTCCACTTTCTAACTAATTTCTTTGTCGTCTCTCTCTCTCTCTCTCTCTCTCTCTCTCTCTGCCTATCTATCCCTTTTCTGTTTATCGGAAGTTATTCTCTAATACAGTTATTTGTAGATGTTCTTGGCCATTAAGATGATTCTTAGCAGCTCGGGAAAGTTCCTTAGTATGTGAATTCGACTGTACCACTGTTTCTTTTTTGTAAGTTAAAACCTACCGTAATTATACCATACAAATCTAGCTACAATAAGAAATATTACCACAACGATGTTGAAATATTTGCAAAACCACGGGACCACAGATGTCTGTGTTGGGGATCGAGCGCGCTATCACTCTTTCCGGGAATTAACGAGTACACTACCACACCATGCGGGTCCTTTGTTTCGCCTTTCTCTTAGCCGAGTTTATAACAAAAAATTTTTACCGAAAAGTGACTAATTTGGCTTCCATTCAATTTACTTCCAAAAGAAGGATCAGTGGCCTTCTTCAGAGTACGACGTGCACCGACCGACATCAACACACGCCGATCGATTATGAGTGCAGTGGTCACTGTGTATAGGAGGCTTCAACAGTTTCATGTATGCCCATGCTATCCTATATTGTGATTATCAATTTTTGTATATACACAATGTATATACGTCCATATTTCCATATATAAACCCATGTATGTGTGTCACGTATCTGCTGCAGCCTCTTTATAGGTCACCTTAATTTTCGCGATTGACCACCGTCCTGGAAGTACCAGTTATCGATCGATATCATCTTAGACAAACTGCACAGCTACTTCCTATTCCATCGTAACGGTAGCTGCACCTGCTTCTTCTTCCGGGGCAATTTCAGGCAGACACAATTTGTTATTCAGTTATTCCAATGGGAAGACACCTAACAGAGATCCTCTTTCTTCCCAAAAATTCCACCTGGAAACTATTTCAATCAATACGGATTTGTATTGACTTTTCCTAAACGATCGGTTCTACTCCTGAAGTTCAATTCTAAAGGACCTCTTATCACGAGCGGTAGTTGGTCCTGGCACGAGCGATTACGATTGACTATACACGTGTTGGTTCCGCTTTTCCTGACATTCCCAGCCTCGTCATCCATGAAATGTGGTATCTTGTTCTTCCGTGGTAGTTCTGTCTATCCGAAATCTTCCAAAGGATTAGTACTTTCTGACTGTTGGTGGTAGTACAAATGTCCTGCATACGCATACTTTTTGCTTTGTTGAGCTTCCTATCAGAAGAGGAGTACTTTCTGACCGTTTTGGCAGTACAAATATCTTGCATACTTTCTACTTTGTTGAGCTTCTAGTCAGAACAGTATTTTCCGAGTGTTTTGGCAGTACTAATGTTCTGTATACTTATATTGTTGAGCTTTTAATCAGTTTCTTTGCGTTTCCAGTCATTCTCTCGGAATTTCGTCTATTTTATCTATGTGAAATCTTCAGATAACTACAATCGGCTATGGGTTTGACCATTTCTTCGCTTTTCAATCGCCTCTTCGGAAAGAAGCAGGTAGTTTGCACCTGCAGTATTTTCTAGTATTCTGACTAAGACACTACTAATGGTTTGTTTTGGTTGGGTTTAGATTGACAATGGTAGGATGGATTTTATTTCTTAAGTTGTACTTTCTGGTAAGGGAAACAGCCTTGAATGAGGATGGGCTTTAAGAGCTTTGGATACATAGTATACTAGCATGTGAAGAAGTTATCAATACTTCTTGCTGTTCTCTTCACTATTCTCCTTGCCGTAGCTGTTCCAACCTTTGCTAATTTGTTTTGAGTTTTTTAGTAAGGAAAGCACATGTTAGCTATACGTATTTTTATTTTGAAGTATATTGAAACCGTGTAGCGCAGTGGTCGGACGCGCCCTGCAATGCACGTGGGTTCTGTTCTCGCACTCAAGGCTCACCAAGCCTTCCATCCCTCCGGGGTCGACAAATTGGTACCAGAGTTGTCTGGGAGGATGGCAGCACTGGCTCGATACATCGGTAGGTCACTGTGAGTCATTGTAGAGGTCAGATATGCATTCAATCACCTTTAACGATGCTTGGTGAAGTCGAACGCATGCCGCATCCCTCAGCCATTGATCAATGCCGGGAGCTCTTTTTTCATTGAGAGCATTCCAAACTTTCACAGCGTTTAGAGAATTTTCGGAAGTTGTTGTTTGTGAGGTAGTGTTCCTAGTATTTGTGAATATCAGAGTTTCATCAAGCATTCTACATGATGATGTTTGAGTCTAGATGTAGATGTTCGGAGGTAAAAATAGGTTATGAGGTTAGTGTTCTCGATCTTCTTTGTTTCGTACGATGCAGCCTTTGACGAGTGAGAAAAATGCTTGCGATACAAATGAAGTGGTTTTCATCATTTTGATGGATGTTTTTGTAGTTGTGACGTGTCCGTTTAATCCGAAACGAATTGCATTTGAAGTACAAGTGTTAGTGGTCTGTCTTCCTGAAGTTGGTGTTGGATAAAGCAAAACGGTTGCTAAGGAGGACAGGACGTGAAGCCTCGCGTTTTTCTTATGAACTTTATTTCTCTGTTTTGATAGTTACGTAACATCTTTGCTTAACTACGTATTTACATTAGTTTAGAACTGAAGTAAACTCATCTAGAAAGTTGTTGATGGCACTCACGAATGGAGTGATGGACAGACAACCCCTGCTAAGTTTTGAACTGCTCTGGGGTTGTCTATGGCGCTACGGTCCAGCTTGGGCTTATGCTTAGGCCATCGCTAGATTCGGGCCTGGCCAAAAGTAAATTTTCCGTGCTTTGAGATTTGTAGCTGAAGTATCCTACATTTCAGCCGCATGAGTAAATCTAGGGATCGTTCAGATTGTATTTTGTGTCATACACTACGTAGCACATTATAAGTGTTGTAAGTTGTAGCAAGGATGGATTGTAACTGGTGAGAATAAGAAGTAGGTACTCCACTGTACTAATGTGTTGTTGTTAATCATCACATATAGGTTCGGATTCTCATGGTTGGTCTCGACGCAGCTGGTAAGACGACTATTTTATACAAGCTCAAGTTAGGAGAAATCGTAACTACTATTCCGACGATCGGTTAGTATTCACATTTACAGGCTTTTAGTATATTCACAATATTTTCTGAAGTTCTCAACACGGACGCAAGGTTAACTAACCGTTCAGGGTTCAACGTGGAAACCGTAGAATACAAGAACATCTCATTTACTGTATGGGATGTTGGGGGTCAAGATAAAATTCGCCCATTGTGGAGGCACTACTTCCAAAACACTCAAGGTCTTATTTTTGTCGTGAGTATTCATGCTTATTCTTTCTTGTTTCTTTTCATTGGTTAGTTGACAGTGCTTTATCCTTTATAGAATCCTGAACTGTAGATTTCGGTTTACGTAGTCTGTTGAGGTTTTGGTGTGGAATCATTTCTGCTGCTTTTTTTTGTTTTCGAACTGCTATTTATTCCACTTCATAACTTTCATCTTTTTACTTGCTCGCAGGTGGACTCGAATGACCGCGAACGTATCGAGGAGTCCCGGGAGGAATTGCACAAAATGGTGAATGAGGACGAACTCAGAGACGCAACACTTCTTGTATTTGCTAATAAGCAGGTTCGCATTACTAGTGTTCATAATCCACAGAAACGTTTTGGGGTTGGGAAGCTTTAAAAAACAGCTGCATCTTTTAGGACCTACCGAACGCAATGAGCGCTGCAGAATTGACGGATAAATTGGGTCTGCATAATCTACGCTCACGACAGGTATTGATTATTGCTCGTTCACAGTTACTCAAGTACAACTTGGTTTTTCGAAGTTATCTGGTCTCAAGCGCTCTTTTTTGTGGTGTCAAATCTTTTTTGGTTTCCTGGGACACATTTGATAGGTTAGCTCACGGAATCCCTTAAAAATTACCTCATAACTCTGTGGGAAACTGCATCTATGAACTAATCTAGTTTTTTCTTGTCAAAGAAGTGTAGTATTTCAATTAGCTTCCTAGTTTTACTTCAGGATTAATGAGAGGGGAAATGGGAAACATGTGCATGGCGAACGACTTACTAGGTCAGATTCCTGGATAGATTGTAGAGTGAGAATATCGTAGGGGCAGTCAGGGCAAATATCGCACCACGTATGTACATATGCATATTTTTCTTGATCACTTTTCAAGAAACTTTTGCACAGGGTGTTTAGCATACTACCGCACTTTTATTCAATGTGCATTGTGAGTGCTATCAGCATTGAAATGTGTATTCCGTTTAGTGGGTATACGAATTTATGCCGGTAGAGAGCATTAAACTGTAGAAACTTGCCGAAAGTACTTGTATACTTGGACGGCCCATCATCACTGCTTGTACGGCCCCCAGTATAATTTCTGACTTTTGCTGGTTTAGCCATTGTGGTAACCTGGAGTCCCGAGGTTAGCCAGGCTAAAGTCTGCCCCAGGTCGTCATCACCACAGACAGTCACTGCCCTTGTGGATCAGGGGGAGATTTACCAACATGCAACTAGTTTGATACCAAGACGGTGGTGGATCCTAGTATTGGTTTACTATTAACTGGGTTTCTTGATGGAAACCCCGAGCTCCTCAGCTTGGGAGACCCTGTCTGGGGGATGAATCTCTCTATGTACATCGCAGCTCCGCAGCCAGAAATACCTCGCAGCCACGATAAGAAGATAAACCGTTGAGAGGGTCAGCAATACACACATAACTAATGTCGTTCTGCAGTGTACTTCGTTGATAAGGATCACCTGGATTAGTCTGTGTTATGATGCCGAAGTTACTTACCTGCTTACTTGGATACTTGGACGGTCCGTCTTCACGAACTGTGCGGACCCCAACACATGAGCCATTCTTTCCTTTCTCTCGCAATCGTAGTCCATGGTGGTGGTCTTGTTCGAGCACGGTAGCGCTTGTGAATCTCATGCCGTGATCTTGAAAACAAGTGCAGCTGCAGGCACAGCTGATTAACCTTGTTTACGAACACGTCTGTCCAACGTGTAGGTGGTCGTTTTAGGGGACGATTGCATACTCTTGGACTCCACTCTACTGTTTTTTTCGTCCATCTGTCGTCTGTTCTTCTCATCGTGTGACCGGCCCATCTATGTTTCGCTGTCGATGAATATTCTCCTGGATCTCGAAGATGTGACAGATTTCGAAGGTCAGAGCTTCGCATTCCGGCTAGATATTGAGAGTGCCGGTTATATTTCAAAAGGCATCGCTCAAGCGCTCTGTGAGTAATGCGAAGCATTCTCGACGTAGCTGAAGTATCAACCCACGTCTCTGCAGCATAACAGAGATCTGGGAGGACCGTAGAATCAAAGAGATGAGCGCGGATTTTCGAGTCCTTCAGTTGGTTGGTGGCTTCTTTGAGAGGCCCGAATGCGGTCCAAGCTGCTCTCCTTCTTCTATCTAGTTCCTCCTTAGTGTTGTTTTCCA